GAATATTTTCTTTGATGCGGCAACTAATACAGGGTAAAAAGTTACCTCCACTTTTAAATTGTCTAAAAATTTTGTTGTTTATTAAATATTAATGTTATACTCGTTCTTCATTTAACCAGATATCTAGTCTCCCGTCTAAAAAATCTTAATTTTAAAAGGAAAAAGCTCAATAGATTTCAACATGAAGAAAATGATGTGGCGAAAGTTTCCTTGCCGTCCTTACAACAATCTTGCTTGACCGAAGGTGACATTGAATTTTTTAAGAATTGTGTGTTGCCCCAGCAGAGGTCAGCATTGGAAGAAAGGCTTAAAAAAACTGTAAAGGAGAGAGCTCATATGTGTGCAAACGGCGCAAATATTCATGATAGTTTTCCTTTCTTTTTTGTGTATCCCGAACTGGTAACTTATAAAAACGAAGTTCAGTGCATTGTAAAATTGTGTACCCAATTTTGACAAGTTTTCACTCTTTACTTTTTTTAAGTTTATTATTTGTTTACAAAAATATAGTTCATTATTTACCGACAACTATATGGATACAAGTTTCAACCTTTATTATAAAAAAATTGAATTGGCAATACAACTGCATACTTATATCTGTTTTTAAATTCTGATTTAACAAGTTTGAAATAAGTTTTTATAAAAAAATTAAAATCAAGTACAAAAAATAAATAGTGAAAAGTTGTCAATATTTGGTGAACGTATAAACAGTTTTGCAACGCCATATATGTATGCATGTACATATGTGCATATCTCACACAACATTTTTCTTACGCTGCATCTTTTTAATATTTATGTATATATCCATGTATTTATGTATGTATGTAGATATTATTCGAATTTGAAATTAATTATGGTGAAAAGGCTAGAAGCTTATCCGATGATTGGATCAAATATTCGATTGTGGTAAAAGAGGTGGTAGAAGACACAGTAAGCAGTTCAAGAGACCTTCCGAAAATTGAGTGTTGGAATAGTGAAATTCGTCCTTTTCTCTACTTGCTTAAAGTTCTTCCTCCATCATCTGGTAGAAAGAAAGAAGGATTTTTAAGAGGAAATTTTCGTACATGCTTGCATGATCTCCTTCGTTTTGAAAGCGTAAGTTATTAATACAAACATCGATAAAAGTGCTTATTATATTCATTTTTATAACAGGTCAATATACCAAAAGAAGAGTACAATATAGATGTCACAGGACCAATCATTATTGCCATTGGATCCAACAAGCTTGCTATTACCCAATATATGTTGGTGATTGACCAGAAGCTTATTCCGCTTCCACTACATTTTAATTTTACTCAAGTATTCGACACACTCTTTAAGACATTTTACGTTTTCTTAAATGAGTTTCACTCAAACCTTGTACCTTTTTTTTGTGTTTTTTGAGAAATACGTGTACAAACTAAAAAACGTTAAAGCTAGCATAAGACAGCAAGAAATTTTCAATAAGCTTGAAAACAAAGCCACACATTTTTCAAACTTCTCAAAGGATATCTACTCAGATCTTTTATACTTAGCTGATTCGGAATGATATTCCGAGCTGTATCTGCAAAGTTTGTTAAGTTTTCTGAAATATTTTAAATGTGTAACTAATTATAACACATACAGTCAAAGACAAAAGTATAGGCACAGATAATTTTTCAAATGTATGCAAAATATTTTATTAAAAGTTTTTTTGCTAATTTTTTATAAAAATACATGTACTTCATACTCCAACAAATCTAGTCAGATTTTTTGGAAAATTTTGGAAAATCCAGTTTTGTACAACAAAGTTCATTTATTTAATTTTCCTGAGTTTGTAACAATGTTTAGAAATCTTATTTTTATGTCTTTTATTTGTAGTATGAATTATATTTTTATAAAAAGTTTGCTGAAATAAGAATCAAAAATTTTTCATACATTGTGAAAAATTTACTGTGCCTATACTTTAGTCTTTGACTGTATTTATGTACATACATATTTTCTTGCAGTATAATTTAAAATGATTTTTTTTTGTTATATATGTGGAACTAGATTTCCGAAATGTTCATTTGCAATGTACCATTTGAAAATGAACATTTATTTAAAGAAATCAAATATGTTAAACTCAATTGTATTAGATCAAAAATATGTAAAAAACAATTTCAAACATTTAGTGGTTTAAGACGTCACGCATTAGCTTGCAATGAGCCAGACTCTTATTCTCAACAAGACAATTCATATACGCCAAACTCAACTATTTATTGTCAAATCCCAGGTTCAATTTCAATCTCTGAAGAAAATATTAGTATTAAGGATCCTACTACAAGTGATTTTGACAATACATGATGAAAAAATCAAAAACTTTTCCTATAAAATTATGGACCTGCCATTGGCTGTGAGCAAAACAAATACAATTTTTGATGCTCTAGAAGAATTATTTTCTAGTGCGTTTCAGGATATAAGAAATTTTTCTTCAAAAAATTTTAAGAACGATAAAAATGTGTTAGAGGAATATATTGCTAATTTTGAAAATAACATTCTAGAAAAGTTTAATCAAAATTCCTCTACTTACAAACGAAAACGCATTTTAAATTCAAATAGTTTTTATGTAGAGCCAATACCTAAGTACTTAGGTCAAAGGTGGGAAAAGCAATTTGATCCACAAATGAATCAATATAGACAAATTTTAAANACTACTTAGGTCAAAGGTGGGAAAAGCAATTTGATCCACAAATGAATCAATATAGACAAATTTTAAAACAATGCACATTTCAGTATGTTCCAATTATAGACAGCATAAACTCATTTTTTAAAAAGGATTTTTTCAAAAGCTTTGTTTTACAAAAAATCATATTTGTACTGAACACGTTCTAAAAGGATTTTGCTGTGGAGATAATTATAAAAACGAGGCTATTTTTAAAGAGCCAAATGTTTTGCAAATTCAGTTATTTTATGACGATTTTGAAGTAGTTAACCCTCTGGCAGCAAGACTTCAATACACAAAATAGGAGCAATTTACTTCACGATCAGAAATTTGCCCTATTAATATAATTCCCATTTGAAGCACATTCATTTAGTGTCTTTGTTTTTTGTAACTGTTCTAAAAAACAATAATATTTCTTTCAATAACATTTTAAGTCCCATTGTCAGTGAAATTAAAATTTTGGAGAGTGAAGGTGTAACTATTGACGGTATAAACTTTAAGGGCATTCTTATTAATGTTTATCACGATAATTTGGGTGGAAATTCCTGTTTTGGATTTGTAGAGTCATTTAAAGCAAATTTTTTTTTGTAGAATTTGCACAATGCCAAAAACAGAAACAGAGGCAACTACGTTTCAAAAGCAAGAATATTTG